CATGACCAGCCGCAGCCAATGACGAGCCCAAATAGGTCATAAAAAGGTCTATTACCAAGTTGTAAATTTTCTTCAAACAAAAAGGAATTTACTGCAATTCCTTGCGGATTTTGCACATACTGCTTCCCAGCGCCATGTTTCTTTCGCCTGCGCGCTGCGCTTTTACTGAGGCTCCGCTCCCGCCTGCCCCCGGCCTGCGCGCCACGGGCGCGGTGGCGGAGCCCGGCCGGGACGCGGGAGATCCGCGGGGGCTACGGAGAAAGGGACAAGCGGCCACGGAACCGCAGAACCATGGGCAGGGTGCTGAGCCGAAGGATCCGTTTCTTGCCAAACGAAAGGGGGCTTAACCCGCATCCCCACCCTCTTCTCCCACCCCTCCCCACCGCTCCGCCGGGCGCTAAAAGAAACCACATCTGCTTTAGCGCCCACTACTGAAGCGGAAGCCGTCGCCGACATAAAAATTGTCCGAGCCTCTTCCCCACCCCGCAGTGCGCGGTTCCCGCAGGTTGCGCCGGGCGCTGTCACCGCGCCCAGTGCAGGCTGCTTCCACCCCCGATAAAACCTTCCCAGGGCAACAACAGGGAAAATCCGATTCCTAGAAAGTATTCTGAAAAAAAAAATAATTAAAATGGGCCTGTGTCCACAAGGAATACTCGGCTCGGAGACGGAGTACTGTGAATGTTTCTTGCCCAAGTTTTGTTTCAGGGAATAGCCAGAGCCCTCAAACCCGCCGATTGCAACTGCTAACAAAAGTAAACACGCCTAAAGATGTAAGATCGATGTTGGATCTTTTTAACACGCTGCTTCAGGCAGTTGAATATTGCCTGGGTGGAGGCTATGGCAACTTTCGTGGTGTCTCTGCAGCGCTCACGGCCGCGCTGAGCTGCTCCTCAAGGGAACGGGGAAATTGCAAGGAAACCAAAGGCGCGGTACATCCACTCTGCGCCCGTCTCAGGCGGCCTCTCCCCGCCGCTCCCGCTGCAACCCGCGCAGCTACAGCTCCTCCTTGCCAGAAGTCCGATGGCTTCGGTTTTACAGGGGACTCGGTGGCCACCTGGGTCAATTTCTAACTCCGTTTTCTTTTTTCTTAGCAAGTTTCCAAGTGAGACCGAGGGAGAGATTCAGATGCCAGGCTACAGGGGTAAATACCTTAAAAACTTCAGCGATGTTTTGTTTTTTCTTAATGAGTAAGACAGGGGCGATTCCAGCTACCACTAGGCCTTTGCCAATTATGTGCACTCAGGGAAGTCAGTTTTTGCCTGTGTGGCTGCGTTCCCAGTCGGTCCTAGGAGAGAGACGCTAACGGAAACTTCTTCAGGAATATTTTAATTTTATTCTTTGTCTGATAATTAAAAACAACTACCGCAGCAGCTCTTTTCCGGACAAATACTAGCCTAAGGAGTGCCCCGCTGGCGTATGAAGGTCTTCGATGTGCCTTCGCCTGGAGGGCAGCCCCGGATGGCAGCGGGCGGCACCAGCACGGCTTTCCCCGCAGCAGGGCCGCCGGAACCGGGCTGCGTCCAGCCTCCGCCGCTGCTGCAGCAAAAGCGAGAGGCTTTTCCTGACCGGAGACCAAATACGTCGGTGCCAGTAGCACGAGTATTGTTTTTAAAAGCGAGGGGGTTTTGCGCATCGGGCCGCCGGGTTACTCTAACTGCGCGGCCACCAGCCCCACATCCTCCCTTGACGCCGGGAATACCGGTGTATTTATGCAAATCCATGCAGCAAAAATGTTTACTTCACTGCTTTGTTGCAGCTTCCCCTTGTTTACAACCTTTAGCCAACTAGGCAATTAAAATAAAACCAAGAACAATAGCTCCGCTTGCTCGTGCCTCCCTCCAGAGCTGGCGCTTTGTAGCAGTGGAAACGTGCCCAGCTCGGTGCTGGGGAGCGGGGAAGAGGAAGGGAAACGAAAGGAACCAAAGGCACCCCACAAGCCCCATCCCCGCGCACGGCGGTGGTGGCCGCGCCGGGTGCGCTCCCGGAGCGGAGCGGTGGGTGCGAGACAAGGGCCCAGAGAAGGGAGGGCAGAGCGGCGGCCGGCACCTCCTCGGGAACCGGGCTATGATTTTCCCAGCAAGGCCTCGGCTCAGCCCCGGCCTCGTCGGGATCACGCTCGTTTCTGGGCAGATGTGTCGTGTTTGTCGCAGTTTCTGCCGCGTCCATTCCATTTCCTTCACGGAGCCATTACTCAGGGGAGCGTCAGCCGGTAGGGAAAACATGACGCAAAAATATTGGTAGGGATTTATACCCCATCCCTCGACCCTTTGCCTCCTACTCCTCAAAAAGGACTGCTTGCGGCCGTCCTGTTCGATACTGCACTCTGCGGGACCCCGCCACCGAGCGAGAGCGAGAGGAGGGAGGGGAGAGGGAGAGAGAAATTAAATCGGTTTGCTATTCAGAGCGGACCTTTCCTCCCGTGGCTGCGGGAACCGTGAGGCAGGCTCGGCCACCAGCTGCGGCCTCCGCTGGGAAACGCATCATAAGATAATATTTAGGGGTAGAAACATCCTTCTCTGGGTCTACGCACGGTTTGGGACTCCTAGGAATTACAGGCTTCGAGAAACCCCCACGCAAGGTCTCAATAGCTTCGTGTTTCCCCGCTTGTCAGCCACCCTCGGGGGGGGCTGGCCCCGTTCTGGCCGTGTTTAGCGTGGCGGGGCTGGAGCAGCCCTTGGGGATGGCGTGGGGCCGGAACGATGCCGTGTCTCCCTGCAGCCGGCAGCAAATGGCTGTGTTTGCCGGTCCCCTGCGAGGCCGGCCAGCAGCCCGGGCTGGGGGGCAGGAAAAGGCGAGTGCAAGGCCCAGGCGCACACATCGGGGGCTCCCCGCAGCCTGCGCTCCGCTCGCAGGTGGAGCCGCGGTCCCCGCTGGCCGCTGCTGCTCGGACCACGGCCCGCAGGGCTCGTGGCAGGGAGCAAAAAGCGGGTTTTGTACACAACGTGCCATTGACAGACCCCACAGAAACAGCCAGCATCCGAGGAGAGACGCGGGGAGAGCTAGCTCGGACCACTGCAAACTGAAGCTTTCTTCAGGAGTGGGTTACAAAGGGGATATAGGGAGGCCGATACATTTTATAATTGAATAAATTCTGTTTATTTTAATCAAATATTATAGAAGAAGGTTAAATATATTCCTATGATATTTTCTTCAAGATTGTTAAATTTATTTAATTTATTCCACAGAAGATAAGAACAAGAATTAAAATAGTACAAGTGCACTTGTCTTGATTAATAAAGCGTTGTTAAATGTCTTACTTATTGATCTTTATTATTAGGAAGTATATGTCGTTTCCCACAATCATCGCCTTTTAAGGTTGCAAATATATATATATATATTTATATATAATTAGAAATTTATTGCTACAAACTCTGTATCAAATTTGAAAAAAAATAATGATGAAATGTTAGATCTAGAGATCGTTTTGGATACGCTTATAAACAAAATAAAAGCACAAACAAGTGAAGCACCCGAAGCAGGGAAACGTCAACCGAAGGGACATGGGGTTACTCGTCCCACGACCAGATCACGTAGAGGGGTGGATGAGCCGAGATGTCGGGCTTTAGCCCTGGTCATTTGATTGACTTGCACAAAGACATTTGGGGAAAAAATTAATTCGTCTGGCCTTCAGCTCTGTCTTCTTCCAGATCATGTGCTTCCTTTTTGGCCTCCCCTTCCTTTCCCTCCTGTCTGGAAGCGGGGAATTTGTCCTTGTTGTTCTCTTTTTTCCATTTCATCCTCCTGTTCTGAAACCAGATCTTTACCTGCCTCTCGGTGAGTCCTAGTGCGTGGGACACCTCGATCCTTCTCTTCCTGGTCAGATAGGGGTTAAATAGGAACTCCTTTTCCAGCTCTAGAGTCTGGAATCGGCTGTATGTTTGTCTTCCTCTCCTCCTACCCGGCGCTGCTGTTTAAAACAAAAACATAGGGGTTTGGAGGTTGGTGTGTCCGTTCAAAACAAGGCGCAGGCAGGCAGCGAGGACTCCGGTCCCCCCGGAATTCCTCGAGAGAAGCCCCACAGAACCGCAGGGAGAGAAAGCAGAGGGCACAGAGGAGTCTAGAGCTTTACACACGAGAGGAGCACAGCGATAGTAAATGCACGAAGCGCCTCAGCTGTCCCTCTGCATAGGATGTTGCAGGGTCACTTTATCATCTTGTACACCACTCCCTTCCCAACCCTGCACCCTTCCCGTTCAGGCAGCGGCGACGGGAGACAGGCGAGCGCATCAGCTGCGCCTCAGAGTCCGAGAGGCGTCTTAAAGGCTACTCTTGGGCTGGTAGCTGCCTGCTGCAGAGCTTTCTGCTCGCTCACTGCATCCCTTTATTATCGCAAGCCACCGCGGCGATAGAAAATCGCGGTGAGAGAGGTAGGGAGTGGGGGAGACAGAGGCAGGGAGCGAGAGTCAGCGAGAAAGAAGCAGGAGGAGGAAAAGAAAGTTTCAAACTCAGACGTGAGATGGAAGCAAATTTTTGACTGCGTCCAACCTTGTGGTCTCATCCAGGGAAACATTTGAGCAGGAGACGAGCTCTGATTTAAGTGGTCTGGTTCCTCGCCAATATTAGCACTGGACGATTTACAGTCAGGATATTGTACCAGCTCGGCCTCTTGCTGTGTCGTAAAAATCTGCTGTCTCTGTAAGTTATCGTATCCGTAAAATTTAGCGGGCTCCCCGTGACAGGTAACCCCGCTGCAGGGGGCAGGAGGCGGAGGCGCGGCGGGGGGAGGAGGAG